TACTTCATTTGTACACCAAGTTTATGTAGATACATGCAGACACAAAATATCTGTGATGCACAGACATTTTGTGTCTGTGTATTTCTGTGTTAGTCTGATGTATAAATGAAACGTACATTTATTACTACCCTCTCAAAAAAGATCATTGCATTTAACTTTTCCATGTCAAACTTTACAAATTTTTATCACAAATTGTGAAGAAATATAATTAATTTTAGGAAAAAATTTCTCAAATAATCTCACCTTTTCATGTTTTTTAAAAATAATCTCATTTTTCACTGTCACCGGAAAGGTAAGATTAACTTTTGCTCATCAAATACACCTTTTATTTTTTTCAAATACTTTTAACTTTATTTATTAGGATATTTAATCTACTAAAAAAGGACACATTTAATTATTTAAATTGAAAAGAAAGAAAAAATATCTAATATTGAATAATTAGACTGAAATTATAATTCCAAGAAGTATCATATACTCCGTATTATTTTCGTCCCATAAAAAAAATTTCAGTATCACTTTCACGTGTAGAATTATACTCCCTCCGTCTCAAAAAGAATGAGACGGTTTGACTTTTTTGGAAAATTAAGGGATGGATATTTTGGTATTGACTTTCCAAAAATACCCTTGATGTAATGGGTAAAAGTAGAATGTGATGAGTAGATTACTAGAAAAAAGGTATGATGTGATAGGTAGGGTATGAAAAAGTAAGGGGTAAAAGTGGTTTTTTAATAGAAATGTAACGGACTTTACGGGACGCGGTTTTTTCTAAACGTAACAAACTTTTTGGGACAGAGGGAGTATTAATTAAAAAGAAAAACGGAAAATAACTTATAATTTAAAGCTTAAGTAATTAAAGCTTTACTTCTCTAATTCTTCTGGGAGAAATTTACGTAAATAGCACTAAAGCATAATGACTTTCCCTAAATAGCACTACATATGTTTTTTTCCCAATGTAACACTTTTAGACATTATTCATTAGTCATTATTCAAGTAAATGTTTGTCATCACTGGTCATTATGGACATTATTAAGTGCTATTTAGGAAAGAAAACAATCTAAGTGCTATTTAGAGAAATGACTTAAGTTTTAGTGCTATTTACTGCAAATATTTCTTCTTCTTGTTGCCAATAGTTTGTTGGCCAGTTTGGGACCAAAAATATAAGTAAATGAAATCATCTTAATTATCAACACAATTTAAACCAAAGGGGCCGAAGCAATGCCCATTTGCAGCCACCCAGAAGATGATGATCCTCCATCTAGTTTTAAATCTCTCAAATTGGGTGCCACTCTCTCTTCTCTAACCAATGTTCGATTCATGACAACGCTATTGTTCTTGTTGTTGTTATTGTTATTTGTAGTCGAATAGTCAAGATCGAGCAGCTCTGAAGAAGCCGCGGTTAGGAAAGGATTCTTGAATATAAATGGCGTAGATGTAGCGTTGTCGTAAGCCTCGATCTCTTGGAAATTTTGCATGAAAGTTGCATCGGGGGAGGCGTTTGTCGCTGCCAGCCAGTGGCACCGCTTGTGGCCCCCCAGCGCCTGCCCTGAGTTGAAAACTCGGTGGCAGATGGAACACTCGTGCACCCTTGGCCGCTTTCTGGAGGGTGCAATGGTGGTTGTGGGCAGTGGCGAGGGGAGAGTATAATCGGAGTCTAGTAATTCGTCGGAGGAATACTTACCGACGTCGGCGAGCATGGTTGCGTAGCAACCTTTAACCTTTTTGTGGCTTGCTCTATGTCCGCCCAATGCTTGGTGGGAATTGAATACTCTATTGCATGCCTTGCATGGGAACGAACCTCTAATGTTGTTGTTGTTGTCATCGTTGTTTGTCTCCACAGTGTTTCTTTTGTTATTGTTACTTGCGGACGAAACAAATTGGAATGACGTCGGGGATGACAACATCATGAGACAGTTCGCTAGATCTTCTTCTTCTGTTGACGTGCAAGACTGACTATATTTACTTGATAACGATGGGAATAACATTGATGCGCTTCCATTTGATCCAACACCCTTGTTGTCTTTGTCCCCCTCGTCATGATCATGATCTCTAATTCCTCGGGTATTGTTGATAATAAAGCGGTTGGTGTTGGCACGTAAAAAGTATGAGTGCTTCTGTCCTTGAAAAAGTGGTCTATCATTGTTGGTGTCACCCACCATGAGGTATTCTTGATCATCACGGAAATTTTTGTCACCGCCATGATCTCCCAAAGTGTGGGACCTCATGTGCCCACCGAGGGCTCCTGCGCAATTGAACCCTCTCATGCACACCTTACAATAGTGCATAGGCACACTCGACATGCACGACGATAATTCATGCTTCTGGTTGTTTTCCTCTGCCATCACTATTACACGAGCTTAAATTTGTTCTTGGTGGTGATAATTAATATAAGTGCGTGTAACTCGAATTTCGTTTGGAGTCGATTTTGAGTTGAATGTTGTGTGTGTGGCTGAGGTATATATATAGGTAAAAGTAGAAAGAGAGAATTAGTTAGTTAGTGTGAGGTGTGGAAACGTGCAAAATGAGTTTGGGTAGTCCTAATTTGTAGTATATGTTGGCTGATTAGAGAGTAGAGTGTAAAGAGGAAAAAAAGATTGAAATTAAAGGAGTGAGAGAGGAGGTGCGTGACAAGTGTGAGGGTTGATATATAAGTGTGATATATATGTGTGGCTCATGTACAAACTACTTTCTTTCCATCCTTATGCTTCTATATAGTGTCATTGATTTGCCACTTGTTATGACCCACACAACTAATAAGCACTTCTTATTAGGCACAAGTATAGAAGCAAACTTGGCCATATGCAATCAAAAAAAATACTCCTAGTCAAAAATTGAAAGCTAAATATAAAAAATATGTAAGCAAAAGTTATTTAAATGACAAAAAATTATTGTAAGTCATTTATTCTTTTTCTTAAAAATAAAATTGAAAGCTAAATATAAAAAATATGTAAGCAAAAGTTATTTAAATGACAATAAATTATTGTAAGTCATTTATTCTTTTTCTTAATTTCGATGGATGAAAAAAATTAAAAGATTAATACTTTATTAGGACTAAAACATGCTCCATATATTAAAATCAAACTTTTAGTATTTTTATACGAAAATAAGACTTAGGCAGTGTTACGCTCAACTTATTTTTCTGCTTATTACGTATTCTTATTAAAATCATATTAGATCAGACCAGATAGATCCAATCAGATCAGATCTAATCAAATCATATCATATCATATCCGATCAGATCACACCAGATCAGATCAGATCAGACCAGATCTAAACAAAATTAAGATTATTATTATTACTACTACTACTATTATTATTACTACTACTACTACTATTACTATTATTACCACTATTATTAGTATTATTATTATGATTACTATTAATATTATGATTATAAATATTATTACTATTATTATTATTACTATTAATATTAATAATATTATTATTGTTACTATTAAAATTACTATTACTATTATTATTATGACTATAATAATTATTACTATTGTTCTTATTATTATTACTAATACTACTAATATTATTATTATTATTATTATTATTATTATTATTATTATTATTATCATCATCATCATCACTATTATCATCATCATCATCGTCATTATTATTATTATTTCTATTATTATTAGTATTATTTTTGTAGCTGTGATTATTATTACTATTCTTATTACTATTATTATTAGTATTGGTATTATTATTGTTTTATTATTATTATCATTATTACTAAAATTATTAATATTTCTATTATTATAACTATTATTATTAATATTTTAATTTTAGTTTTGATCAAATTCATATCAGATCAGATCATATCATATCAGATCTAATCAGATCAAATCAGACAAGATCAGAACTTCAAAAAATTAGATCAGATCAAATCAGACGAACAGAACGCAACCTTATAATGCTAAATAAAGTCAATGTAATGTCAAAAATACAGAATATTATGAAATGTCAACACATAGTGTTAAAATAAACACGTTTCCTGTGTCACTATTTGAATATTATGAAATGTCAACACAAAGTTTGCTAAAATTTTGGTATACCCAAGGATTTCAAAAAAAAAGGGGATTAAGGGAGTAAAAGATGGGGTCTAAGGCTATGTTCGTACACCTATCTGATTGAATTTTTAAAGTTGGTTTTCTTTTGCTATAAATTGAAGATGAGACACCTTTTTGCGACAATACTCACAGTTGGGATACCTCCAAAGTAAAAAGGTTGGGTATTTTGTAACTATAAAGCGTGTAAGAGTCATTGGTGGTTTGGGGGGGGGGGGGGTTATACGTGCAAGCTTTGGCACGAGAATTATTAGGCCTCACAATTTTTGATACCAATGTATTGTTTAGTATTTGAAAAAAAGGATTAATCCCATATAGGTCCCAATTGCCAGCCTGAGCCCTGAGCTGTAGCTTGCAAGAAAGTAAATTATGTTTTAATCTTGGACTCATCAATAAAAACGAGTTTTGTCTCTCATAAATGCAAGGATCTCAGTCTCATACTACGTATGGTCGTTGTCTTTCTTCGCCGTTATCAAGAATCAAGCCCGAGTGTTTCTCTTTTCGTGCTTATTGACGAACAGATTAAATTTGGAGTAAATATTTATATATACAAAGCAATATCGATATTTATATTTATAAATATCTATTAGAAAGTGGTATATGTTTGAGATTAAACTTGAGATATCTGTTAATTAATTGATTAAAGCTCATCAACTCATATAAATCCTAGTGCAGGGTATATGTTGTTAGTTATGTACTGCCTGGAGTGACAGCAGGATAAGAGTAACAGAATTTTTATACCGGACAAAAACATTAATTTAAATAAATGTTTGCAAATTAAAATAATTAATTACGGAATATATAAAGAAGGAAGAACACATTTTGATAATTAGCATTAATAATCTGCCGAGCTTAGGCTACATATGATGAAATTAACTAATAATTAATCAATCCATCTAAGATAATGACATTTAATTACTGAAAAAAGAAGAGCAAAATTGTTTTTTATTACTCGTAGAAATCTGGTCTAGAGATGAAGGGTGAGATCAATGCTGATGTCATCGAGATGCTGCGGCGGAGATGGAGTGGCGGCGGCGCTGGGGCGGGAGAGAGTCTCCAATGATGACAGGGGCGGCGGCGACGACCCGGAACAGTTATTGCTCAGAAAGACGACTTCGCCGTCGGCCAGAAGATCGCAGAAGGCCGATTGGGATGGGCCGGAAGCGAAGAAGTGGTGCCCGCCGTCCACTGGGAGGAACCCGCCGGCGGTCGGGTGGTGGAGGAGCATGGGAGGTTGGAAGCAGTAATAGCCCGCGGTGGCGGAAGAGGGAAGCTGCTCGGGAGTGATATTCGGACTGCAGTACTGGTTCACGGCGGCGGAGGGACAGAGTGCTCGACGGCGGCCGGCGGCGGCTCTCTCGCGCCGGTGGGCGTTCTGGTGGCCGCCGAGAGCCTGGGAAGTGCAGAACGTGCGGGGGCAGTAGAGGCAGGGGAACACTCTGCCGCCGGAAGCAGAGTTTCTAGCACCAGATCCACGGCGGCTATTCAGGGGCGGCACTCTCCCGGCCTCCCCCTTCCCGGCGGAGCCATCGCCGTCGCAGAAAAACAGTGATTCCGACGAAGACGACCCGCCCGCCGGAAAACCCATGGAAACAGAGGAGTCCGACTGGACAACGGCGTCGTTCCAGAAGTCATAGACGACCACCCCGTGACCGTTTGTCTCGTTCCGTTCCGCCATTGCTACGAAACAAGAAAAGCCTCGAATTCAAAATTCAAAATTAAAACGAAAAAACAAGAAAACAAAAACGAGATTTTGATCAATAATTGCTGAACCAAAGGCGGCTTCTGTGATATATATATATATACAGGGGACGGAGGAAAGGAAGAAGGAGAAGGGGAGGAGGGCAAAAGGGTAAAATCGGATGGGTCCAAATAGTACGACGTCGGAAAAGACAAAGTAAGGGAATGTGCGGGCGGAGGGAGGAGGTGGAAGTTGGGTACGTACGGACAGAAAACGGGAGAACGAATGTACACGTGTCGCAATCATATTAGTGTTTTTTTTCCGCCATTTTTGGGCGTTTTTTTGCTTAACTGAATTTGCAGGGATGAGTGAGTTGCAGAATATATTATGCCCCACTTTTCTCACTTCTCATTCACTCATAGAGAGAAATCAAAGCCTCTTTTTTACAATTACTTAAATTACTTCTTCCCTCTAAAAATTATCTCGTGGTGATCAAATTTTATTCATGTTCTTGGCCTATATTCGTAGTTTATTATACTCCCTCTGTCCACAAATAAATTTCCCGTTCACTATTTATAGGGTCAAATTTTATTCACTTTGTTGGGCTATTTTCGTCACCCATTTGATAAAATAATATAGTCATGTCACCTCTAGTTTTGTAGATCTTTTGATATTATTTTTTAATATGTAATTTTTATTTTTAAATTTTACACCATTTTTAATATAAAATAATTTAAAAATAACTTCAGTCAAACATCGTAACGCGCAACGAGAAGTTTATTTGTGGACGGAGGGAGTATAAAATAATACGATCATGTCACATTTAGTTTTGTAGATCTTTCGATATCGTTTTTAAATATGTAATTTTTATTTTTTAATTCCACATTATTTTTCAAATAAAATGATTTTAAAATAACTTCAATCAAACACCGTAACAAGCAAACGGAATGATAATTTTTGGACGAGAGACTAAAAGGCACTCTTTGTCACTAGTGTCAGTTTTTAGTTTTGATTAGAAAATCAAATGTTATTAAGGCTTGGATTATAAAAATAGGGTTCAATATTGGAGGAAATATATAGAAAATGAAAAATGTTTTAAAAAAATTGGAAAGCTTTAGAAATAACTAACTATTTTTCAGAAGAAATTGGAATGAAGGAACAAAAAGTAGAAAGAGTTGAAATAAATTAGAAAAGTTAGAAAGAACAGAAAAGTGTGGAAAGAATTTTAAGAAGTTGAAATAAATATGCTCTCCATCCTAAAATTAAGTCTCGGTTTCGGTTTACGAGATTTGAGCATCTTTATTTTCAATTCAATTTATTGGATGATAGTAGTAGAATTTAAAAAGTAAAATTTATATATTTAATAACTGCACCAAAAGATTTACAAAACTTGAGATAACATGATTTTATTATTTTATCAAATAACTAATAAAAATATAAAAATAAATAAATAAAATTTAACCATGTGAATAGTACTAGGGAGCATAAATTTAGGAGAACATCTCACAGTTTCATGAGCTGTCAATTGAATTTTTTCTTTTTTTTTTGTAAAATGTTCAATTCTTTTATGATATCAAATCACTAAGTTTCATAAAGTGAACAAGAACTTTAGGACGGCGTCAGAATTTACCATTTTAATATGGAGGGAGTACGTATTACTCTCTCCGTCGAGAAACACATTTTTCTTTTCTTTTTCATTCATCCCAAAACAACACTTCCTCTTTCAAATAAATTGACCTCTTTACCTGATCAATTATAAATAGGAGAAAGATTAGAATAGAAGTAAAACCATGAAAAAAATCAAGCTAAAACATTTATTTTTGATATCCAAAATAAGACTTATAATACCAATATTACCAACATATAATATCAAAAGATACTGTGAAAATATTTATATAAAGCACTGTCACAATATAATAGTCCAATTTTAGAGATAAAAATATGGCATTCCTATTTTGAGGAGAATAACTATGTTATGCTCTTATTTTAGATAATTTTTTTAATAATCTACTTATTACATCATATTTATTCATTATTAATGTATCAAAATAAATATGAATTTAACACTAAATGACACATATCTTAAATATCACTTTTATTTTAAGTGGAATTTTTAAAGGGAGATATCATTTTTTTAAGTATTTACTCTCTCCGTGCCTAAATAGATTGCATTGTTGGAATTACGATACAAAACATTGTGTCTTAAAGTTATTTTATTTACAAACTGGCCAAAATATAAAATAAACTTCCATATTTGAAAATTACATTAAAAACTTTACAAAACAAGAAATTACAAAATTAATACTCCATCCATCCCTAAGTATTTGTCCATTTTCAACTTTTTTTTTTATCAAAATTGATAAACTTTGACTTCAAACTAAATAAAAATGATATTATATATTGATAAAAAAATAATTTAATTAGATTTATTATATCAAATACTTTCAAAATATTATTTTATATAATTAATATACTAAATATATTTTATTTAATAGTAGGTCAAAGATTAAAAATAGTTAATCGAAAAAATCAAAACTGAACAAATAGACGGAGGTAGTATATTTTATCTGGCACGTCAACAGTGTTCACCATCATCAAATCGAGTCCAGGAAAATCTACCCGGCCCAATAGAGAGACCCAGTCGAGATGGTCCATAGAATAGAAAAAAGACCTTCATCCGATCGTTGACCCATTTACTTCTGCATACTGGCGGCACAAAATGAGGACCGACCCAAAGGGGAAGACACTTTGCAAATCTTAGGATGGGCTTAGAGATGACAATTCAACCCGAACCCGACCATAACCAACCCGGTTGAATACTAAAATATCCAAACATAAATTGAGAATTTAAAAATCCAAACTCGACCCGAATCAAATCCGGCACTAGTTGGGTCGGGTTCAGGTTCGAGAGTTTACCTGAGCCCATCCGAACTTGATTATTCAAAATAAAAAAACTCTATGTATGCCTCTAGCTTGAAACCCAAACCGATTCAAATCTAACTTTTAAACCTGAACCCGTAATTTAATTAATGAAGAATTTTAAACCACATGGAATACTTTACGCCCTCGCCTACTTGGAATGCTTTATGTTGGAATGCACCTTGACGTAACTATTTAAATTAAAATTATATAAATCTTATAGGTTTTTATAATGCAAAAAGATTGAACAATTTTGAAAAGACAAAGAGTCATCGCTCAAATGTCATGTTAGATGGAAGGCTACAAGTAGAGGGAATTAGATTATTTTGAAACTTCTTTTTTAGTTTCCTCTAATCTTTCAATTATATTTTTTTTTATTTTCATTTTTAAATTGTGGTGAAGTTCTCTTTTCATTGTTTAAAAGAAAATTGCATGTGGTTGATATTGTTATTTCTAATTTTTCCAATTTCAAATTAACCCTCCTAAAAATTATACTTGCAAAAAAAAAATGTAAAAGTGAACCAAATGAGAGAAAAAAATAGTACTCCCTCCGTCCTAAAATTATCTTCCCAGTTACTATTCACATGGTCAAACTTAAATAACTTTCTTTACCTATTTTTGCTACTTATTTGATAAAATAATATAGTCTTGTCACATCTCGTTTTGTAAAACTTTTAATGTAGTTTTTAAATACGGAGTATGTAAATTTCATTTTTTAATTTTACACCTACATTCAAATAAATTGAAAATAAAGTCGGTCAAACCTTGTAAACCCAAACGGGAAGATGGTTTTAGGACGGAGGGAGTATAAATCTATTTGTAGTTTTGTACACCAAAATTTGTACCCTATTTTGTATCCCAAAAACATGCACCGATATTTTGTGCTAGTTTAATATTAGTGTGATAGTTTACATTACCAAAAATATCAATACAAATTTTTTTAATTGGACTAATATTTTCTATCTTTGTGAACTGTTAAAATATCGGTGTATTTTTTTAGGATACAAATTGGGATACACTTTTGAGGTGTTGAAAAAAATAAGATGGGTGAATACCTAATTTGCAGTTTGTCCAAATGCCATATTTGCAAAAATCAAAATCTGTTTTTTTCGCTACGCTGGTAAACAGAAAGCGGCACAGCTATGGCATATCCAAGAACATTAGCCACACCTGCAACTCTGCGCCCAATTTTCCCCTTCAAAAAAATCACGCCCGATATGAATCTGAAATACACAAATCTGGTTCCCGATTCAAGCCGGCTGCTCGCGCCCTGGTGCACTTGATCCGGGAATGTGGCAACTCTGGGTGGTTTTTGCAGGGTGAGCATCTCCATTGCCATGTTCTGAAATCTGGGTATGCTTCCGATGTCTATGTTTCCAGTGCCATGATCCTTTTCTATGTGAAGCTTGAGGCAATCAGCGATGCACGCAAAGTGTTTGTTGAAGTGTCTGAACCAAGTCTTGTTTCTTGGAATACTCTGATTTCTGGGTATGTGCGGTGTAAGGAGTCCACTAAAGCTTTGAACTTGTTCATTCAGCTAGAAAGATCTGGTCTTTGCGCAGATGCTTATACGTTTTCAGCTGCTTTATCGGCTTGCGGGCAGCTGAGCTTGCTCCATTTCGGGCAGTCAATACATTCCAAGATTGTGAGACATGGGGTGGAGTGTAGTGTTGTTGTTGGAAATTCTTTGATTGACATGTATGGAAAATGTGGATGTGCCCAAAGATCAATCAGGGTGTTCGATGGTATGATGGATAAGGATAGGATTTCTTGGAATTCAGTCATTGCAGCAAATGTTCGAAATAAGAGTCTTGAAACGGCCTTCGCGTTTCTACACGAGATGCCCAATCCTGATACAATCACACATAACGAACTAATAAGTGGAATTGCCCAGTTTGGTGAGATTGAAGACGCGATTGATCTTTTATCAAAAACACCCAACCCAAACTCGTCTTCGTGGAATTCTATTATAACATGGTGCGTGAATCGAGGCAAGGGAGACCAAGCCCTAGAGTGCTTCTGCAAAATGCATATTAGTGGCATTAGAATGGACCAGTTCACATTTTCAAGCATTCTAAGTGGTACAGCAAATGTTGCAGGCATTACATGGGGGAGATTGATCCATTGTTGCACAGTGAAGCACGGGTTGGATATGAGTGTAGTTGTTGGGAGTGCTCTTGTTGACATGTATTCCAAATGTGGGAAAGTGAATCGAGCCGAGGCATTGTTTGAGACACTACCCACAAAGAATTTGGTGACATGGAACGCTATGATATCAGGTTATGCTCATAACAGCGAGTCCCACATGGTGTTTCGTCTATTCGAACGCATGAAAATGGAGACAGATTTACACCCAGATGGAATCACCTTCCTCAACATCTTGTCTGCTTGTTGGGACAGAAGAACGCCTTTGGAAGTTGCGCGCCAGTACTTTGAGTCAATGGTTAAGCAGTATGGGATTTGTCCCACAGCCGAGCATTGTTCGTCCATGATAAGACTCATGGGGAGAGAAGGGGAGGTGGATGGTGGGGAGAAGATGATAAGAGATTTGGGACTTGACAATTGTGCAATGGTTTGGCGAGCCCTATTGGGAGCTTGCGTAGCTTGTGGGGATATAAAAGTCGCGGAAATGGCAGCCAAAAAGGTGATAGGATTGGAAGGCGAGAGCGATTTTGTTTATGTAGTAATGTCTAATGCCTATGCCTCTCATAGGAAGTGGAAAGAAGTGAAGGGAATGAGGATGTTGATGAAGGAGAGACATGTAATGAAAGAGTGTGGTCATAGTTGGATTGAGGTGTAATGGTAAGGGAGTTAATGAATTTGAAATGGAAAACAACAACACAATGATCTTTTCAATGGAATGAGAAACCTCAAAGAAATGTCACCTAAGATTGGGTTGATAATTTTATGGAGAAATTTACCTAAATAGGACTAAAACATAATGACTTTCCCAATATATGACCATATGTTTTTATTTCTCAATGTAAGACATTTGGTCATTATCAAGTAGTCATTATTCAAGTAAATGTCCATCATTACTGGACATTATTTCTTCCACTAAGTCATTATTAAGTCCTATTTAGGGAATAAAAAAGTTTAAATCCCACATTAGAAAAGTCATTATGTTGTAATCCTATTTAGTGCAAATTTCACTTTATGAATTTTAAAATCACTAATAAAATTGCACAAAGGTTTTTGTGGTATGCCAACTACTCCTATTTGTTTATAAAAAGTTGGATATGCATAGAAGAATATGTAACACAAACTAAACTAGAGCTACATACATTTTTTCTCTCTTTCTTAATTAAGAGGTCATTGTAAAAATTCCTTTTTTCTCAAGTTATATTTCGAATTTTATTTTAATTCCTTCTTTGCATTTTTCATTAATAATTTTTTTCTTATTTAAAAATTTGAAAATTTTGAATATGAAAAATCACGATAAAAATCCTCCCTTTATTCTAAAGTATGTTCACATTTAATTTTTCAGCCTTCATTACAATTTAACAATTAATATATGTGTGTGTGTGTGTGTATACTCTTGTCTAGTAGAGATCTTCTTACACTTGTATTCCTATGTCCTAAAAAAATGTTCTACTTACTTTCAACAACATAAACATTACCCCTTTATACCAAAGTATGTTTTTAAACGGATACCGCCGAGTTGGTGTACCCAAGGTGTACACAAGCTTCTCACAGAGACTCAATGACTCTGCCTCACACACACAGTGAATGTCCAAGTTTATCTGAAAGAAGCTGATGTATAGCTGGAGGTACACCAATTTGGGGTATTCGAGGTTTTTCCTTTTAAAAAATATACTTTGTATTAATTAAAAAATATAAAACCAAACAATATGAATAGTTTGCAATTAATATCTTAGGAAACGTGATACAAATTTTAAATATTGGACTAAAACAAATCTTACACTAATAGATTGAGATCACATATTAAGAGTGCCCACATACATAGCTTCGGCAACTGTTAAGAATCACTTAATCTCCCCTTAACACACAATCATTTCGGGGTTGCTCAAAGTACTCGAAATGGTTTTGAAGCTCAGGTTTTCAAACTTTCTCTCTGCCACATTAGTTTTAATTTACTTCACCAATTCGCTGGAAATGAGTTTGAAGCCCCGGAACTTCAAACTGGGACTTCAAACTTTTATTTTTTATATTCAAATACACATCTTTTAAAATTAAATTAATAAAATGTAATTATTTAATTTTATTCATTAAAAGTATTACATTCATAAACAACAAATACATTCATTAATTTAAAAAAATTACATTCGTTCATTAAAAAAATTACATTCATTAAATAAAAAATTACATTCATTAAATAAAAAAATTACATTCATTAAATAAAAAATTATATTCAATGATTGAAAAAAAAAACCCGGTGCAATAATGAGAAGGGGGGGGCTCCAACGGCTGAATTTTGGCCTACAATTTGTGTCAAAAGATTGACGTTGCAAAAATAACGCTGCTATAACGGGAAAGGGGGGGCGATGTTTAACGACCCCAAGCATCAAAATAGGCATAACGCCTCTGGGCGTTAGTGGTATTATCACTGCCCTTAGTCCACCAAATTGAGCCCATATTCAAATTAAAAAAATAAATAAATGATCAAATTCACTTGAGAATAAATTATCAATTCTAAATCCACCTACTTTTGTGCTGCCAAATGATAGAATTGAAATTGGTATCTCCGATTCCAATTCCATACTTTGAATTCCGTGTACCAAACGGAGCCTGGTACTAATAAATTGGCTATGACTTGAATCACCCTGAAGAACATAAGCAGAGTAATCTGAACTATTGTTAATACGCCTATTTTACAAAAGATGAATCACAGGCCTAAGGATTGAAGTCTCTAACTCCCTCAATGAGGTAATAATATGAAACTTCCCGGAAAGCATTCAAGATCTGGACTTTCGGTCATTATCTTTGATATTCAGAAGCATATGCAGCAGAGTGGACTCGGGTCCTCATGATATTGACTTCAGTAAAATTTTGCAAGTTGCATCATCAGGAAAGAATCCAAGTTTTAACATCTCATCCAAATGTAATATAGCATCACAATGCTCATTCTCTTCCAGTAACCCACGGATCAGTACATTGTATGCCACACTATCTGGCATCAAACCATTTTCTTGAGCATGCCTTTGGCATCTTGGCAAAGGCACTTACCATAATTCTGTAAGTCGTCACATTTGGTTGCACGCCTTTGGAGGGAAGGGCAATGAATAGATCCATTGCAATGCTTGATTTTCCATCATTGAACAGTCCCTTTATGACAGTGTTGTAGGTTATGATATCTGGGGTAGGACTGTTGGCTTCCATCATCCTCAGCAAAGAGAGCGCTAGTGGAACACGATAGTTCTTGCAGAAGCCGTCCAAAAGAATAGTGTAGGTGACAAGATCTGGATATTCTTGGCTTTCTACCATCTTGTTAAAAAGCTTCTCTGCATCAGCACATCTCCCTGCTTGAAACAAGCCCTCCAAGATACTGCTGTAGGTAACAACGGTTGGCTTTAGGCCAATGCTAGGGATTTTTTCAAACAATTGCATGGCCTTATCTAAATACCCACTCTTGCAATACCCATTTATTAGAATATTGTATGTTTGAATGTCCGGGTCGCATCCCCTGTAAATCATGGTGTTCAAGAGTTTCAAAGCACTGCTGATCTTTCCTTGCAAGGAGTATCCGTCCATCAAAATACTGTATGTGATAACATTGGGTTCTACACCTTCTTGAACCATTGTCTCTATGGTTTTGGCAGCATCATTAACCCATCCTTCCCTGCAAAACCCAACCACTAATGCATTGTACGTATGGGCATCAAGAGGAATTTTAGAGTCTGCCATTCTTCTCAGCAGCTCTTTTGCCTCTTTCCACCGGCTAAATTTACAGAGCCCGTGAATTAGGGAAGTATAGGTCACAACATTAGGAGGGACGCCCCTTGCCACCATCTTGGATAACAGGACAAGGGCATCGTCCACCTTGGAATCCTTGCACAAAGAATCAATGATGGTGCTATATGCAAACACATTTGGCCTGCGGTTTCCTTTCTCATCAAACAAATGAAGCAACTTCCCAGCCTTGCCAGTGTGCCCAGCCTTGCAGAGGCCATCAATCAGTACCAGCAATGTGACTACACTTACCACACACAGTCTCTCACTCAATAGCTTCTTAAACAACCCAATGGCATCTTGAACCCTGCCTTGAAGGAACAACCCTTTAAGTAAAGTGTTGAAAAAAACGACATCGGGCACTAGACTGAGCTTCAAGTGGGTACCCAAAATGGCAAAACCCAAGTCTACCCTACCCAAACGGGCAAGGGAATTCGCAGCAACGGTCAATGTGTAGTGATCTACCCGAACGCCAGAAGCACAAATTTCTTGAAATAGTGAGACAGCATCACTGTAGCACCCCATCTTCACAATGGAACTCAAGAGTTGGTTGAATTTCACAATTGGAGGAAAGGGTCTCATAAGGACCATATGGCGGTACAGAACAAGCGCATCATCAAGCTTCTTGACGCCATTAAAGTTCGATTCGCAGTGCTCCGAGTATGAATCCTGGACATTTGTACTAACAGCAGAAACACCACTGTGAAAACCAGAGAAATCCATGGGATTGTTACCGTTTGGGGATAATCCTCTGCTGGCCCGCCTGAAGATGAATCCACCGGTAATTCTCATCATCTTGGGAACCATTCCGAAACCCTAACATCGAGAAATTGCGAACCATTTCCGCAAGGAAGGGTTGAGAGTGGAACTCTGTGGCACATCTATTTCTTCACTCGCCAGTTTTGGGGGTCCACCATCAACTTGCTTCTTCTTTATCAGGAGTTTTCTCTTTCTTTCATCTTCTTCTTTTCACCAATTTTAGAAATTTTATAAACCAATTATTGAATCTGAAATTCATTATCTTCACCCCTAATTTCATGTGTTGTTCGAACTTTTTTATACCAATTTTTGGTTAATTTTGTTGAATTGAAAACCTTTTTTTTAATTTTTTAATTTTTAGATTTATACTCCGTAATTTGGAAGTAGAGAGGGTCATTCATATTTTATAAAAGTATCACCAAATATTATCAATTCATTGTATCAAAAAATATTACCAATTCATAATATTCTACAAATTATTGTCAATTGCATTTTTTCTAATTAATCTGTATTTTTCTGATTTGGAACTTATAATTGTTGTGTAACATCATTTTAACAAATATATTTGTTTGTTGTGTTTTGAGAAAAGTCTTGGTGCGTTGTTAGTATTTTTCTACACTCTTGTTAATTGTTGATGTGATATTATTCTAACAGATGATCTCGTCTCGTGAAATATTGATTATGAGAAAGAGGAAACAATTACGACTGTGAATGCTATTTCTGAACTTGTTATTCACCAATGCAATCGTTTTAGTAATTTTTATGTGGTTGATGATGACGGTTGTTGCACAAGAAAAAAAAACATTGAGGTTACCGTTTCTGGAAAAGAAACATCGAAGATTAAATAATTTGAATGCCTTAATAAGAGAAAGTGATAGTGGTTGTAAAAGTGAACTTCGAATGAATAGACATGCTTTTCATGTGCTATGTGAGATGCTTAGAGATAATGGTGGTTTAACTGCCCTTAGATATATGTCCTTAGAAGAGACTGTTGCTATGTTTTTTGTACACATTAGCTCATAAGTTTAAAAATAGGACGATTGGAAAATATTTTTATCGTAGTGGGGAAACTGTTAGTAGAAATTTTCATCGTTGTCTTCTTGCGGTTTTGAGGTTGCACCCATACTTGCTCGAAAAACCAATACCCATCTCTGAAGATTATGAAGATAGCCAATGGAAATATTTCAAGGTAATGTAACAAATGATAAATATAATTATAGGCAAACATTTTAAAAAAATATATGTTTCTAACATTATCTTATGTATTTCTTGTTATAGAATTGCTTGGGTGCATTAGATGGTACTTATCTTCAAGTGCATGTGTCATCTAAGGATAAACCAAGATCACTTATGTATTACCGGGTTGGGAAGGTTTTGCACATGATGGCCGTGTACTTTGAGATGCACTTTCTAGACCTAATGGTTTAAAAGTACCCCAAGGTATAACCCTAAAAACTTATAACTAATATATAAATTACAAACTTTTTGACCTTGCTTAGTAATCCTAAAATTTACACGCGCTTAAAGGTATATATTAATTGGTGGATGTTGGATACACCAATTATGAGGGGTTTTTAGCGCCATTTCAAGGTCATCGGTATCACCTAAAAGAGTGGGGGGATTGTACACCAGTTTCTGCCAAAGAATATTTTAATATGAAGCATTCTAACGCAAGAAATGTAACTGAACGTTGCTTTGGACTTTTGAAAGGGAGATGGGGAATACTTAGATGTCCCTCATTTTTTCCTATACCACTCAAGGTCGTATAGTTTTGGCATGTGTTCTATTACATAACTTTCTACGGATTCACATGCCAACAGATAACAAAGTATGCTTTGAAGATAGTGTGGACGACGATGATAATGATGATGAAAGGGACAATTTTGATGATAGTGATGAGGATGATGAATATGTCACCCACATTGAAACATCAAATGCCTGGACTTTTTTTCGCAGTACTGTGGCACAATCTAGCTTTAACAATTGGCGAGCTAAGACACGACATATGCATGAATAAATTCTTTTTAGTATTGATGTTTTTATGTGCTTGGTAGTGATTTTTTGTTTTTGGGATGTTATAATGTTATTTAAAAATGCATTTATAATAATAATAATATGTGGTCACGTATCGACTGAACCACGTTTCCATTTTAAAAATGTGTATAGAATACTTTCTTGTCATGCTTTCAGGATGTCGAGTAGCCAAAGCAACTTGGCTGAGTGGAAAGCATACGGGAACTTCAAAAATGGATACCTGCAAAAACTAGAAAAATTGATGAATGAAAAATTTCCAGGGTGTGGATTAACATCGACTCAAATTGAATCCAATGTGAAACAATTTAGGGAAAAGCATAATGTGATAATGGTGATGCTTGGCACTTCAGGCTTCTCTTGGGATGAGACAAACAAGATGATGAAGTGCGAAAGACAATCCTATGATGAATTTCTCAAAGTAAGAATTTCACTTTTGCTTTTAGTATACTAGACTCGTACCTGTGCGATGCACGGGCTATTAATTTACATATAATTAGTCAATGTTTGAAATAATGGAAAATGTTACAAAATCTGAAAGATTACATAATTTAATATAATTTCCCTAAAAGGGAATTCTATACAGTAATGACCAAAGTCGATACAAAGTGTTAAAAGTTTTGGAACATTTCTTTATAAAATACATTTGTAGAGATTGATACATTGCTAATATTTATCGTTCTACATTTAGGATTTTATAATAAAAAACTAATATTCGTTATAATCATTATAGACATACAAAGATGGAAGATATTCCCTCCGTCTCATTTTATAATCCCGTTTTGACTTCAAGCATATTCAAGGAAGGGAAAAAATTATGTTGACTTTTCAAAAATACTTTATTTTTTTATGGGANTGAGAAATTACTTATTTTATGGGTAATTTAGATATTTTACCCTTAAAAGTTTATTATTATAAAAAACATACAATTTATATTGGGACGCACAAAAAACAAAAAAAAAGAATTTAAAATGAGATGGAGTGTGATGTTTTACTTAAAAAGTTAACAATAAAAAGAAATACGTTGTCCATTTCTTGCAAGTGTAGAGAATGATACATTGCTAATAGTACTAATCTTTCTAAATTTGGAATTTCATAACAAAAAAATTAACATTCGATATAATTATAATAGGCATACAAATAGTTAATATTCTAAAAACTCATCAAAAGAGCATGCCGGATACATTACATATAGAATACTTTCCAACATTTTTAGTACCTTACAAAAAAAAGCTAACATTTAGGCTTAAAAACATCATAGGGAAATATTCAATTAAGAGCATAATGACCGTTAAAATATTTTTTAACCCGATCAGATCATCGCAGTGCAAGTGATGTCACTATTGCACAGTTATCACAAACAAAAAATAACCCTCATTCCACGTTATCAATTTGTAAGCACGATAGATTCTCACGTAAGCTAAACCATTTTCAACACTTTTTCATAAAATCAGAGTCTCGATTACTCTTGCAATTGTAACATGAACTCACAAAAGTTCCAATTCCTGCTTTAATTGTGCAATAAATACAGTAACTAATAATGTATAAAAATATATTATTTTTAATAGAATTTTATTAAAATAAGTTTGTAAACATGTTAAATAAAACAACAAAAAATGGTTCTATTTGACCGCAACCAACTCGATTAAATCTTAAATTAAATCAGAATTGAAAAATTAAATATTCTAAATTGACCCGTCAAAGTTAAATCCAAACCTGAGCAAAATTGGGTTGGAAATGAATATATACTCAAACCCTTCAGCCCATATAAGCCCCTTACATAAAAATTATTTTAAAATAACCCACCAGCCCAATTGTATAAACCCAGCCCACTAATAAACCTAAATATATTTTCTAACCTAGCTAAACCAAAACCGGAATCTCTTGGCTCGCTCCATTTCCGCCTTTGGATTGTCTCGGTCTTTCCCTCTCTACTCTACGCCGCCGGAAAGCCGTTGCTTGTCTCGGTCTCTCCCTCTCTGTCTCTACGCAGCCGGAAAGCCTAGATGATTTTCGATGGATCTTCGTTTATAGATGTAAGATTTTTATTTCTATGGATCTTTCTCTCTTTATCTTTCTACAAATTCTTTCTTTCTCATTTAACTCGTTTTTTTTTTAGAATTAATAATCTAAGATCCGATTATATATATATGATAAAGCAGATGTAAAAAAAATTTATTTTGGAATAAAAAATAGAATAATGAGTGAAGAGATAAAAGATTAAAAGTAAAGCCTACATAAGTATATAGTGAAAATCTGTGGTGGGAGTGTTTCTTGAATTTTCTTCCTTGTGCTCATCGATTTGTCTCTGGGTTTATTTAATTTCCACTTGTTTTCTTATGTTTTTTCTCATTTTAATTTACGCAATATAATTGGATTTAATATTTTTTGACAGCCTTCGTGACCCAACTGCCTATCATGTTCCATTACCCACATTTTCACATTCATGTCTGATTTCAAATTCAGTGTACTACTTTATCAAGTTGTACATTCCACGAAAATTAAAAAAAAATAAATTTTAATGTTATATATTTTAAGAGAATAATTAAAGGAGTATATATACATACACACACACACACACACACACACACACACACACATATATGCTCCTTTAATTATTCAATATTTTTACTGTGTCATCAATTCTCTTTTTTATTTGTCCTTGAGTTTGTTGAATTTAATCTATGAATATACTACAATATAGTAAATGTCCTTGGAGAAAGAAGGGAAATGAAGGGTTATCAACAAAAAAGAACTGTAAGGCGTAGAAGATGAAGAGCTTTCAAACCTTAAGTTTGGAGAAGTCTCTACATCGCAACGGTTAAGGATTTTAAAAATGTATTGTTTCAATCTCTTTATATATTGAACTTTGTAGAATAGCATAGGGCTTTGGATGGGAAAAGACACACTAATCAATGAGGCTATTTTGAAAAGTTGAAATAGATCCATTATAGCACGGTTTCCAAAATATTTTGTAAATCCATGCAATTAATGCTTGGAGTGTATAAAGTATCATTACTTTTGCTTTATACTTTTGCTTTGTATTTTTGCTTTATGGAGCCACACGCTACTTTATGTAGCAAAGGAAGAGTGATTGGACAACACATAAAGTTGATTAGACAACACACTAATTACCCTCTAGATTAGCTGTTTTATAGGCCCAAACTTGTCCCACCAGCCCAATTTTGGCCCAGCCCGGAATCGGCCCAATTCAGTCCAATGAATTAGGCGGGAACACTGTTCATAAAAATGCACCTAGCATTGTACTCCGTATATAGTAGGATGTTTATGTGAAATTTGTAGTGAATATGACTAAAACATAAGTCATTTCCCAATGTAGAACTTAAACTTTTTTATTCTCTAAATAAGACTTAATAATGACTAGTGAGAAGAATAATGTCCAAGTGATACTGGACATTTAGTTGAATAATGACTAATAAATAATGACCAATGGTCCTACATTGAGAAATAAAAACATATGGTCATATATTGAGAAAGTCATTATGTTTTTACCTAAATAGGACTAAAACATAATAACTTTCTCAATATGGGATCATATGTTTTTATTTCCCAATGTAAGACCTTTAGTCATTATCAATTAGTCATTATTCAAGTAAATGTCCATCATTACAGTACATTATTCATCCCACTAGACATTATTAAGTCTTATTTAGGGAATAAAAAAGTTTAAGTCCTACATTGAAAAGTGACTTATGTTTCAGTCTTATTTAGTGCAAATTTCACATGTTCTTTTCTTAAGAACATATGGCTTGAGTCTGATTGGTGATTAGGTTCAATTGAGCACACATTTTGATACATATGAATATTTCTTCAAGTTTATATCACATTCCTCACTTCTTTTGTTTTTTCAATCTTTTAAAGTTATTCCTTTTATTCTTACAAAAATATAAGAATGCAAAGGGATTGTGGGGAATTTCTTTTCCCTTTCTTGATGATCTAGATAAGGTTTTTGGAGCAGATAGAGCTAATGGAGGTGCATGTGAAGATTATGTGGGGAATTTCTTTTCCCTTTCAAACTGATAATGAAGCTGCTGGCATTAACGACGATGTAATTGCAGAGGATAAAGATGACGACGAGTCTTTTACTGAACCATCACCCCATATATAGGGAAAAAAACAAGAAAAGAAAACTATGCAAAGGGCAAAGCCAAAATGAAAAATTCAGAGGTTGAGTTGAACCCGTCAATTATCAACGTTTCTTCTAATATTTCATCTTTTTTAGGTGGCATGACCTCTCATTTCTCTACAATTGCGAGTGCTTTCTCTACAACTCAAGAACATGAGCTAGCCATAATGGCTCGTGAAGAAGAAAGTGAGGCTAAAAGAGGACGTTGAAGCTAAAAAAGAAGGTTTATTCCATGAGGTGAGCTCAATTCGTGGTCTTTCAAGAAATCAAATAATGCTTGCAGATGAGAATAATTTCTCTCTTCTATCATCGCCCTGATCAGGAGTGGAAAGAAGAAATCATTCTCAATATATTTAGTTTAGATCTGTGTGGCTAGAGTTTTGGCTATCTTGGTGAATTTTAAAATTGCTATTACCCATGTCACTTTTTATGTGAAAATAAAGTTATGTTTCACCATTTTTTCTACCCATGTCACTTTTTATGTGAAAATAAAGTTATGTTTCACCGTTTTTAAACATATTATCTACTTTTTTTTTAAGGATGTCACTTTTAAAGTAAACATTAATTTATGATTTATTCTATTTTGGATAGCATTATATATGTCTATGTATTCTTTTGGAGAATATTACATGTGTTATAGATGTTGGTTTTTATACTCGTAGTGATGTTTTTTTATTTGGGGAATTTGTATTGTAATACACAATATTTTTAAAAAGATATTAAAAAAATAATTTTTTTAAAAGTCAAAAATAATGATAATAAAATAGACAACTTCCGTAAATAGGATGTACAAATATAATTTTTCCTTAAAAAGTAAAGTTATAATTTTAGTGGATAATAAATTCATATCCGAAGTCTGCATTTGATTTCTTAGTTACTCACCAAACATCTATGATTGTGATTTCATTTCATTTCTTTTTCTCGAAACACTTTTCTTCCAAATTTTAAAACCCATATCATTTCTTCTAGATTTCAAAACATATATCTTATCATATCTTTAAAACTCACCAAGCGAGCCCTTATAGAAGTATAATTTATAAATTAAAGCTTTGTAATATATGACATTTTTTAGGTTGTCATTAATAAAAATACTACGTTTGTTAAAAAAATTATACTTTTCATTTTCAAATATCTTTAAAAAAAATCCTAAATTTTTCTGGAGTTAAAATATACGGAGTAACTTCAAAACTTTTCTCTAATCTAAATAAATTCCATGTTTTAGATTTTTTTAATGTGACTATCACAAAATTTTTAAAAGCTTTCGAAAATGAAAAATAAGTTGAATTTGTTTGGATAAGAGACAAGTTTTTCAGTCACATGTTTGCTTTTTATAAAGAAAAGTATTTTAGAAAAAGATATTATTAGAAAAGTATTTTAGAAAAAGAGATTATTAGAAAAGAATTTTTCTGTCCTTTCAAAAAAAAAAGTATTTTTAGAAAAAGATATTATTTTTATTAATGACAGATGAGAAAAATATCATACGGAGTATTACAGATTTATAGGGTTAAGTTTTAAAACAATTGAATATTTTTTGTTTAAAGTCTAGAGTTGAAAGAATTAAAAAAAAAATTCCTTGTGATATAATGTGAAAACCTTAGAAAAAGTATAAAATTAAAAAACGAAAGAAAAGAAAAAAGGGTTTACCAGTTAAAAAGGCTTATGAGTGCATAAAAAGATTCGAGTGATAATTTTAAATATTTTAAAGAGTTCAACAAGATTATATAAAGAAAAAAATGTTAACATTTCGGACAAAAAAGAAATAGCCTAGTGACATTTTCTCAAAACCAGTTCAGGGTAAAAAGGGAAAGGGAGAAAAAGGAAAGAAAATCTATTAGAGTCGTTATGTTTGTTATAAAATTTCTCCATAAATTTTTCCTTATATCAAACACTTCAAAATCCATTTTATAGATTTAAAGACAGTAAAATTGCCTCAAACAACCGTGGAGCAGAGCAAGCAGCTTAATAGATCATAAATTGCTGAATTGAAGAATCATTTGGTCCTCCAAATGTTGGCCATGAACATTTTTTTTCCTTTTGAACAATTTTCTTGAACTCCATGAGGGTTAAACCATAAGGCTATTTTTTCCATTTGCCAATATCTAACACATTGAGTCAGTTTGATATCATCTTTTAGTCCATCCTTTGACTCATCATCCTTGTAAATATAACTATAAATCGATATCTCACTTTTAAAACAAGAAAGCAGAAAACAAAATTCAGGTGATAAATTGGAATATGGAAAACAGAAAATAGATGAAGGGATATGGAAAACAAGCCAACAGGAAAATAAAATCACTTGTGATAAATTGGTTATGACCTGGATCACCTGCAACTCAGTGACGAACATGACTACATGAACAGAGTAAGCAGCAAAGTCTTCCACTTGCTAGTAACATAATCGGCACCATTCAAGTTCACAGTCGAATTAAACTCAATTCATGTATAATTAATCTCAGCAACCTAAAGCTAAAAATGAAACAGCCATTCAGGAATGGTGGTGATAAAATACACTTTAAAAGTAGTCACAGTTAAACCTACAGTTAACCACAGGACTGCCAGAAAACACTCAAGATCTGGACTTTTGGTCATTATCTTTGATATTCAGAAGCATATGCAGCAGAGTGGACTCTGGCCCTTCTCGTAAGATTGACTTCAGTAAAATTTCGCAAGTTACATCATCAGGCAAGAATCCAAGTTTTAACATCTCATCTAAATGTAATAGAGCATCACAATGCTCATTCTTTTTCAGTAACCCACGGATCAGTACATTGTATGCCAAGCTATCTGGCATCACACCATTTTTCTCCATTTTCATGAGCATGCCTTTTGCATCTTCTAGCAAGCCTTCTTTGCAAAGCCCACTGATCATACTTCTGAAAATTATCATATCTGGCAGCAGACCTTTAGATGGAAGAGCATTGAACAGTCCTATTGCACTACTTGATTTTCCAACACTGAAGAGTCCATTTATGACAGTATTATAGCTAATGATATCAGGGATAGGACTTTTAGCTTCCATCATCCTCAGTAAAGAAAGAGCTTGAGGAACACGATCGTTCTTGCAGAAGCCATCCAAAATAATAGTGTAGGTGACAAGATTTGGATATTCTTGATTTTCTACCATCTTGTTAAAAAGCTTCTCGGCATCAGAAAATCTCCCAGCTTGAAATAAGCCATCCAACATACTGTTGTAGGTAACAACTGTTGGTTTTAGGCCAATAGTAGGGATTTTCTCTAACAATAGCATGGCCTTATCTAAATACCCACTCTTACAATACCCATTTATTAGAATACTATAAGTGTGAACATCAGGCTGACATCCCCTTTGAATCATGGTGTTTAAGAGCTCTGATGCACTGTCAATCTTTCCTAGTAAGCAGTATCCTTGCATCAAAGCATTGTACGTAACTACATCGGGATCTACACCTTGTTTAATCATTGTCTCTATGATATTTTCGGCATAGTTGATCCATCCTTCCTTGCAAAACCCACAAACCAATATGTTGTATGTAAGGACATCAAGAGGAATTCTAGAGTCCGCCATTCTTTTCAAGAACTCCTTGACCTCTTCCCAACGACTCAATGTACATAGTCCATGAATTAGGGAATTGTAGGTGACAACATCAGGAGGAATGCCCTTTTCCCTCATCTTGGTTAGCAGGGCAAGGGCATCGTCCATCATTTTATCCTTGCACAAAGAATCAATAATGGCGTTATATGCATATACATCAGGCTTGCAATTTCCTTTCTCGTCAAACAAATGAAGCAACTTAATAGCCTTGCCAGTGTGTCCTGCCTTGCAGAGGCCATCAATTAGTATTAGTAATGTGATTTCATTTATCTCGCAAAGTTTCTCATTCAGTAACTTCTGAAACAACCAACTAGCATCGTGAACCCTACCTTGGAGGAACAACCCTTTCATTAAGGTGCTGAAGAAAATCACATTGGGAACTAAACCCAGCTTCAAGTGGTTCCCTAAGATAGCAAAAACCAAGTCCGTTCTATGCAAACGGGCAAGGGAATTGGCGGCAATGTTCAGGGTGCAATTGTCTATAACAACTCCAGATGCAAAGATATCCCTAAACAGAGAGACGACATCACTGTAGCAGCCCATCTTCACAATGGTATTCAAGAGATGGTTGAATTGGACAGTTGGAGGAAGGGGATGAATCTGGACCATGTGACGGTACAATAGAATTGCATCATCAAGCTTATTGATACTCTTAAACCTTGATTTACTATGATGCAAGTATGAATCGTGAATATTGGGCCTAACAGCAACGCCATAATGAAAAGAAGAGAAATGGGAGGGGAATCTGGGAAGGAAAAAAGAAAGGGTTTTACCATGGGATAGTCCTCCACATGCCGATTTTAGTATGTGCCTGGAAACGCAAACACTAATCTTCATCGTTTTGCTTCGCGCTTCCAAAACCCTAACTTTGAAATTAGATTTCCTCAAGCCATCTTCAAGCCTAACTTCGAAATTTGCGAATGGAAGCTCCCAAAAGAGATGGAAAAAAATATAGGTAAAGCTAGAAATGTGAAAAGCATGAGGAAGTGTCTTCCTGTCATGAGAAAAACATCGGCAATCAACATAGAGATGGCTTTTCAAAATAAATTTCGAGTAAATTTCCAATGCTCAATCACTATATCTCTTTCTAAATTAGTGTCTAAGATTAATTAATTATCGAAATTGTACTCATTAGTTGAATTTCCAATTAACTAATAATGATCCCTCAACTAACCAAAAAAATACATTAATTATGAAAAATATTTGAATTTTATAGGATAAAAATATAAAATAAAAACTATAAATATAATTTTATATACTTGAAATCAAACATTTAAAATTATTTAAAAGAATATAATGTAAATAAAATACCCCCTCCGTCCCCCTAAGATGTTCTCATTTTGACTTTTGGTGGTTTTAAAAGGAGTTGAAAAAAGGTGAAAGTTTACCATAATACCCTTAATGAAAATGGGTGGAGTGTATTAAATGAGGTAGATGAGGTGTAATAAATAAAGTGAGGATAGTTGTGGTATTTTAATTGTTAAAAATGAAATGAGAAGATCTATTGAAGACAAAGAAAAAGGTTTATTGGGAAGATCTATGGGGGACGGAGGGAGTAATTAATAAACATTAAAAAAATCACCCGAAATAAGAGTAAAACATAGAAAAAGGGTTCTTTATTTTGTACTTTCTCTCTGTTTTACTCCTATTTAGGGTGATTTATTTAATATTTATTAAATATTTAATTTGCATGATATTTTTGTAAATAATTGTAAATAATTTAAAACATTTCCTTTCAAATTTATAAAATTGTATTTAAAGTTTTTAGTTTATATTCTCATCCTAAAAAATTTATAATATTTTTCCATATTTAATATATTTTTATTTTGAAAATGAACCAATTTTGGAAAAACTCCGAGTTAGAAAGTACTTTTTAAAAAATTAGTATAAGGTTTGATGTTATTTTAATGTCGTTTTTACGGTCGTGAGAGACTTAAATGAACATTATTCTTAATTAGCAAGAATTATCTCAATGATTTGTTAATTTTGGAGGCTAATTTAACGAAACACATATTTTTTTGAACATGGAAACACATAGTTATTAAATACGGAGTATTATTTTGAGAACTTACTCATAATAAAATGATTTTTGAAGTTAATACACGAGTTTCTTATTTTTGTGGCTGAGATAATTTGGCATTTTACGGCTCTTTTCGTTTGAGTTGAAAAATAGATTTGAATGTTAGAAAAAATGAGATGAATTTGAAGTAATTAAGAGTTGAAACTGGGAAAAAATTGGAAAGAATTTGAAAAAACTAGAAGTAGTTTTAAAAACTAAAAAGAGGTATAAAAAAACTGAAAGTTGGAAAAAACTAGAATGAGTTAGAAAAACTAAAAGAAATTGGAAAAACTAGAAGAAGTTGAAAAAAATTGTAACGAGTTAGAAAAAATGAAGTCTTGAAATAATTATTATATTTAATGAATTACATATTTTATTTAAAAAATTTATACCATTATTTTTAAATTTTCTCTCTTTTTATTTTTCTCTATGTGAGTATATTTTTGTCCCAAATCATAGTAATATTTGAATGACTCATACTCACTCTTAATATATTTAACAAAAATAAGAGGTGAATGAAGCAATACCTTTTATAAATCTTAATTACTCCCTCCGTCCCAATTTAAATCGTTTGTTTTGACTTTTAGGCATATTTAAGGAAAATAAAAAATAAAGTTGATTTTCCGCAATTGCCATTACTTTTTAAGATGGGTGATAATAAATGAGAAGATAAGGTAAAGAAGAATAACTTATTTTAGGGGTAGTTTAGGTATTTTATTTTTAAAAGTTTACGAAAACAACTAACAGGCAACTTATTTTGGGATGGAGAAAAAAGGCAAACATTCAATTTAAAATGGGACAAAAGGAGTAAGAGAATGGACATAAACAATCTAATGGTGCCTCGACCAAATAAAAATAGTTGTACATCGCGTTTTATATATCAAAATAATAACAAAAATGATTAGAGACTAACGATCAGGCAACTTATTAGCTTTACAAGTGTGTCCAGCATTGCACCAGAGGCCATAAATTAGTATCAGTAATGTGATCTCATCTAACTCACACAGTTTCTTATTCAATAACTTCTGAAACAACCATATAGCATCTTGAGTCCTATTTCGAAGAAACAACCCTTTTAGTATGGTGGTACAAAAACAAAAGCACATCAGGTTGGTAGCTCCTTAAGATGGCAAAAGCCGCAAAACCCAAATCTACTTGGCGTAAATGGGTGTGAGATGGAAGAGTGTGAAATAAAAGGAATTAACCGGGCAATAATCCACTGTTTGCCCCGTTCAAAATGCTCCCACACACTTTTAACCACATCCTCTTTCAGTAGCCATAAAAGATTGCATAGACATAGACACATGATTGATGATGTATGGCATAAAAGGGGTTGTTCATTCTATTGGCTAACATTTGTGGTGTAACTAGAATCTGCAAAAGGGTGTACTTCCTTTTCAGCTGTTGAGGGCTGAAAAAGGGGTTTAGTTCTTTTTTTTTCCAGCTTTTAGTCACATATAATCTGCAATTCAAAATAGAGGATGAATCAGACTGGAATTTGGTACAGAAAAAGATTCAAGATCTGAATTTTTCATCATTCTCTATGATATTCAGAAGCGTATGCAGCAGAGTGGAATCTGGTTCTCGTAGTACGATAGATTTGAGTAACATTTCACAAGTTGAACTGTCAGGTGAGAATCCAAGTCCCGACATCTCCTCCAAAAGTAATACAGCATCACAATGCTCTTTCTTTTGCAGAAATCCACGAATCAGTTCATTGTATACCCAACCATCCAGAGGAACACCATTTTTCTCCATTTCCTTGATCATATCTTTTGCACCTTCTACCAAACCTTCTTGGCAAAGTCCTCTGATCATAGTTTTGTAGGTTATTGTGCCCGGCTGCAGGCCTTTAGAGGGAAGGGCATTGAGTAGCTCTATTGCACTGCATGATTTCCCATCACTGAACAGTCCATTTATGACAGTGTTATAGGCAATGATATCGGGGATAGGACCATTAGCTTCCATCATCCTCAGTAAAGAAAGCGCTTGAGGAACATGATGGTTCTTGCAGAAGCCATCCAAAATAATAGTGTAAGTGACAAGATTTGGGTATACTTGATTCTCTACCATCCGGTTAAAAAGCTTCTCGGCATCAGCACATCTCCCTGCTTGAAATAAACCCTCCAACATACTGCTGTAGGTCACAACATTAGGAGAAATACCCTTTTGCATCATCTTGTCTAGCAAACCAAGGGCATCGTCCACCATCTTATCCTTGCACAAAGAATCAATAACTGTGTTATATGCGTATACATTTGGCTTGCAGTTTCCCTTCTCCTGAAATAAACGAAGCAAGTTGATAGCCTCGCCAGTGTGTCCCGCCTTGCAGAGGCCGTCAATGAGTACCAGCAATGTGACTTCACTTAGATCGCACAGTTTCTCATTCAACAACTTGTGGAACAGCCAAATGCCATCTTGAACCCTAGCTTGGCGGAACAACCCTTTGAGCAAGGTGGTGAACAAAATGACATCGGGCACGAGGCCGAGCTTCAAGTGGCTCCCTAAGACAGCAAAAACCAGATCCACCTGATGCAAACGGGTGAGGGAGTTGGCAACAATGCTCAGTGTGTACTGATTTATGGCAACTCCAGATGCCAAGATCTCCTTGTATACAGAGATGGCGTCACTGTAGCAGCCCATCTTCACAATGGCATTCAAGAGATGATTGAATTGGAAGATATGGGGAAAGGGTTTCATCCGGACCATGTGACGGTACAGTAGAATTGCATCGTCGAGCTTCTTGACACTGGTAAAGTTTGAGTCTTTGTGATGCAAGTATGAATCGTGAATATTGGGCATAACAGAGACATCATTGTGAAAAAGAGCAGAGAAAGGGAATTTGGGGAGGAATGGAAGGATGTTACCCGGCCAATTCAAAAAGCTCCCACCCACTATTAATCGCATCCTCCTTCCTCGCCAATTTCCTGTATTTCTTCTTCTTCTTCTTCTTCTTCTTTCGAGAGGGAGAGACTGTATTGGACCTGGAGTGAAAATTTGGTCGGGTTGTGTTTTTGAAAGGGAGATAAATGTAAAAAAGAAATAATTCCTCCGTTCACAATTAAACTTGTCATTCATTGTTCATAGGGTCAAATTTTATTAACTTTGTTGACCTATTTTTGTCACTCATTTGATAAAATAATATAGTCATGTCACCTTTAGTTTTGTAGACCTTTTGATATACTCCCTCTGTCCACCATAGATCTTCCTGGACACTATTCACAGGGTCAAATTTTACTCACTTTGTTTGCTCATTTTTACTAGTCATTTCGTAAAATAATATGGTCTTGCCACCTCTAGTTTTGTAGAACTTTTCATATAGTTTATTACTATATAAATTTTATTTTAAAATTTTACTCCTATAATCAACTAAATTGAATTGAAAATAAAGTCGGTCAAGCCTCGTAACGCGTAATGGGAAGAACTTATGTGGACGGAGGAAATAGTTTTTTAGGGCCTGTTCTTTAGGACTGTAAAAAAAAGAGCTGGATGTTGGAAGAAACTGTAAAAAAACTTTAAGGACCTGGAAGAAACTGAAAAAAAAACTGGAAGAAACTGGAAGAACTAGAAGGAATTGGAAAAAACTGGAAAAAACTGGAAGGAACAGGAAGAAACTGGAAAAAACTAGAAAACCTAAAAAAACTTTAAAAATAATTATTTTAAATTCTTTTTGTTATAAATTATTATTATTATTATTATTATTATTATTATCATCATCATCATCATCATAATCATCATCGTCATCACGTTATCTTAGTGAATGTCTTTAAGATATAAAAAAAGTATTATTATTTTTTAAATAGAAGAAACTACTTTTACAAAAAATAATTATAATATAAAGTTAGCATAAATATAAAAATATTAAATTTTAAAAAGGCTGTGTAGTTATATTGCACCTCAATTTATTTATGCAGTATTTATTATAAAAAATATATTTGTAATTATAATTTATATATTAAAACATTTTGTTTTAAATATCATACATGTCACATAATCAAACCTATTGTTTCTTTCATGATTGACATTTTATTTTCATTGAATTCTATTTTTGGAATAAATACATGGAACTTTTTTGTTTAAATTTTTTATGTTTTATTCATATTTTAGTCTTTTTCTCTAAGCTCTTTTCACTTACAATTTTTTTATAAAAATTAGAAAAATAAGCAATTTTTAAGTAATAAAGGGAAAACTGAGATGTCTTATAAAAAGTTATATTAATAAAACATTCAATGTAACTATTTTATCCATAATTTTTTAGTATAATTTAACATGTTGATGTTTTTCTGTTTTATCATGTAAACTAATATATAAAAAAATGTTTTATTCATATAAAAAAGTTGAAGAAAAAAATAATAAGTGTGAATCGTATAAATAGTGAGATGAAAAAAATAATTTATAAACTATAGTTATGAATATAACAGTTGTAATAATAATAATAATAATAATAATAATAATAATAATAATAATAATAATCACATTGAAATATATCATTTTTAGAGTAATTGGTTGAGGAGTAGAAATAATGTGAAGAAAATGAGAAAAGTTGGAAGAAACTGGAAGCAACTGGAAGGAACATGAAGAAACTGGAAGTTAAGAGTTCAAGCTCTAAAGAACAGGCTCTTAATATGTAATTTTTTTTTAAAATTTTACACTGTTTTTCATATAAAATGATTTAAAAATAACTTCAGTCAAACATCATAACGCGCAACGGGAAGTTTATTTGTCAACGGAGAGAGTACAGTAAAATTATCACAAAAAATACGTCGTACGTTTAGGCATTTTCCCAAAATAATTTTATCTTTTACGCTATGTTTCGTTCAAGGAATTTGAGAGTGAAAGGAAAAAAATGAATATCAAAACGTTTTTCTTGTTTTGATTAGAGAGGGAAAAAAAGAATATTAAAAGGCAAAATGTACTAAGAAGTTAGAAAACCAAATATTTCCTATTTTGGTGAGAAAACTGAGGGAAAATTATTTTCCTTTCTTTTCCTTCCAAATTCCTTGAACCAAACATAGGGTTAAAGTAATGCGTAAATTTAATTAAACCTTATTTGGGGTCACCGTTAGGGAGGTAACAATGACCTAGCAATTTCTTAAAAAATGCTTATTTTGTGAATAAAAATGAAATGTGAGATTATTTAAGGTAATTTTATTTTTAATTTAAAAAAAATTAAAAATTAAAATTATGTTTTAAAAAATATAAGAAAATATTCTTGTCTAAGCTTTGTGTGCATTTTAAAAATGTAACGACTCACGACTTTGTAGTGTCGTTTTAAGAAAAATATAGTTATGTATTAAAGGGAAAAATAATTTGTAGTGTCGTTTTAGAAAAAATTAATATGGGTCATACTCCGTAGTATATAACTATCATGGATGAATTAGACTATTGTAAAAAACTAAAAGATTCACATTCAGCCCATAATGAATATGAGAAGGTTCATATTTCACAAGTAGATTTTAAGATTATGGAAGCACAACTCGTTTAGAAAACAAGTAATGAATTGCCGAAAAATTTAGCTCCATTTTAGGAATAAAAATTATTTTCTTGGTTATTTATTCAAAAAAAAAATCACGGAACATTTATAAAGTTGTGAAATTAGCACTACAATTTTTAACATTTTAAGAAATAATTAGAATGAGCAATGTGGAAAACTTTTGTTATTAAAATTTGTTCTCCGAAATGACACTTAATATATTCATGGCAATTTATTACAATATTTTTTTCCTGACTATTTTTTCCCAAAGATACACTATAAAGTTAGGAACCGTCTATATATTAAAACTGAAACACAAATCTCCAATAAGAGCGTACTGTCAAGACATTGATATGCCACTTTACCCGAAGACGGAAAGAAGGCAAGCATCTGAAAGTGTCACCGTTGACACCCCCGACAAGTCGTCAATTTTTTAATTGAATACGGAGTATAACATAATCTGTTAATCAATACCATTCAAGTTCACAGTGGAATTAAACTTGATTGAAGTAAAATTCATTCCAGCAACCTAAAGCTCAAAATGAAATAACCATTCAAGAATGGTGATAAAGTACAATTAAACCTAGTTACAGTTAACTCTACATTCAAGACCTGGACTTTTGGTAATTCTCTTTGAATCTAGCCCTTCTCGTAAGATTGACTTCACCAGCACAGTTCAAGTTCACTGTGGAATCAAACTTTATTCAAGTCACAGCGACCTGAAACTCAAAATGAAACAACCGTTCAAGACTGGTGATAAAGTACTCTAAGAAGTATTCACAGCAAGCCTACATTCAACCGAGGACTGTCAGAAACCGACAAAATGGTCCATATTGTTCTCGAACTATATCTATGAAACAATGTGTTGATGTCTTTTGTACGGACACATCACAAAGGCAACATGCCTCATGTAAAAGATAAGGAAAATAGTTGAGCATTTGACAAAAGATGAATCATATGTTTTAAGAACTGATCTCTGTGACTCTTAATTATATACTCCTGGAAAATTGTCATGATCTGGACTTTTGGCCATTTTCTCTGATATCTAGAAGCGTATGCAGCAGAGTTGAATCTGGTCCTTCTTGTAAGATTGACTTGAGTATAATTTTGAAAGTTTGATTGTCAGGTGAGAACCCGAGTCTTGATTTCTCCTCGAAAAGTGATATAGCATCAGAGTGCTCATTCTTTTTCATTAACCCAAATATCAGTTCATTGTATACCACACTATCTGAAACAACACCGTTTTTCTCCATTTTTCTGAGCATATCTTTTGCATCTTCTAGCAAGCCTTCTCGGCAAAGTCCACTTATCATACTTGTGTAAGTTAACTTATTTGGTTGCAGACCAATTGAGGGAAGGGCATCAAATAGTTCTATTGCACTCCATGACTTTCCATCTTTGAACAGTGCATCTATGACAGTGGTGTAGCTAACTATATCGGGCATAGGACCTTTAGCTTCCATCATCCTTAGTAAAGATAGAGCTTGAGGTAGATGATGGTTCTTGCAGAAGCCATCCAAAATAATATTGTAGGTGAAAAGATCTGGATATTCACCATTTTCTATCATCTTGTTAAAAAGCTTTTCAGCATCATCACATCTCCCTGCTTGAAATAAACTCTTCAAGATACTGCTGTAGGTAACAACATTTGGCGTTAGCCCAATGCTAGGAAGTTTTTCAAACAATTCCATGGCCTGATCTACACACCCACTCTTGCAATATCCATTTATTAGAATATTGTAAGTGTGAATATTAGGGTCACATCCCCTACGAATCATGGTGTTTAAGAGTTCCAATGCACTGTTCATCTTTCCTTGTAAGCGGTATCCATCCATCAAAGCAGTGTACGTGAATACGTCGGGATCTACACCTTGTTGAACCATTTTCTCTATGATTTCGGCAGCACCGCTGACCCATCCTTCCTTGCAAAACCCACCCACCAATATGCTGTATGTATGGCCATCGAGAGGAATTCTATTGTCCGTCATTGTTTTCAATAACTCCTTGACCTCTCCCCATCGACTAAATGTACATAGTCCATGAATTAAGGAATTGTAGGTCACAACATTTGGTTGAATGCCATTTTCCATCATCTTTGCTAACAGGACAAGGGCATCATCCAACATTTTATCCTTGCACAAGGAATTAATGACGGTGCTATATGCAAACACATTTGGCTTGCAATTTCCCATCTCGTTAAACAAATTAAGAAACTTAATAGCCTCGCCAGTGTGTCGTGCCTTGCAGAGGCCATTAATGAGTACAAACAATGTGACTTCACTTAGCTCGCACAGCTTCTCATTCAATAACTTGTGAAACAACCAAATAGCATCGTGAACCCTACCTTGACGGAACAACCCTTTGAGTAAGGTGGTGAACAAAATGACATTGGGTTCTAGGCCGAGCTTCAAGTGAGTGCCTAAGATAGCAAAACCCAAATCTACTTGGTGCAAATGGATGAGCAAGTTAGCGGCAATGGTCAGCGTGTACTGATCTACCTGAATGCCAGAAGCACAAATATCTTGAAATACAGAGAAGGCATCACTGTAGCGGCCCATCTTCACAATGGCATTCAAGAGATGGTTGAACTGGACTGTTGGAGGAGGGGGATGAATCCGGACCATGTGACGGCACAATAGAATTGCAT